CAACATTTATATAGGAAGTTAAAAAATACTTCAAATATTTTGGGAAATTACCTAATCAGTATACTTTTAGCATATGTCTAGTCATGTAGCCATCTTTGGTCAATCATCAAAAAATCAAAGGCAAATTGGCATGACTCAACTCTAACTTTAATACCGCATGATTGTGTCGTGTAAGCTTGTTTTGTGTGAGAGTTGCTGTGGTTTTAGCAGAGAGATTAACAACCGGACCTAAGCTGGCCTCCAAACCTTGCCCTGCTGATGCCTCAAGCTCTTTGAAGTCTGACCATCATACCTGGCAAAACAACAGTGGGAACTAGGATGGTGTCAGATCTAATCAAATTGTTCGCTGCAGCATAGCTAACTATGGGGTTCACTAATTGGCCCAATTGCGGATTATACCTTTTGCTACAGACTCAAGACAATAATTTAGTTAAATGATGTTTTTTTTTTCCTTATCTCTTCTAATTAAGATTCCAAAGTGGGAAGAAATAGGATTAGACAGTCTCAAAACTGTGTTCCCCTTAAGGTGGTATGCACTTTTGATAGGTTCACTATGGAATGTAAAATATATAGGATACTGCTATATGTCTCTCTCAGGAATTAAAGTATGAATGGGCATAGTAATATAATAAATATTAAAATGTGAACAGATAGGAAATTACACTTGATTGTTGAAGAATGTTCATTTATGTTTCACAAAAATGTATAGATGCCTATTATGTTGAACTTTGATTTTTTACATTTATTTTTGGCTAACTGGAATAAAAACTAACTTAAAAAGAAACCAATATTTCTGATGGGCATCATTATCAGACAAAGTATATTAGACTATATGGCCCACGATGGTCCTACTTATAATAAGGCTTCTAAGTCTGACATTTAGTTTTCCATTATTATACTTAGTGACATAACTGTGAATTGACAAGCAAATTAACTCTTCCTCTCCCCATCTCTAGATATACTAAACATATATTCACCCTCTTACTTCTCATTTAAAAATTGGAAAGACTATTGAAAATAAATGTAGAGAAGAAAGTAAACCTAAGACTAAAGTATTAAGCAACAACTCAATTTGCTAAGCATTTTCATTGTGTTTAGTAGTTTACAAGAATTTATACTTTTCCAAAATGTAAAAATTTCAAATAATTCTGTAGTCATATCAAGTTATGTGATAGCATCAAAGAAAAGCTAATTCATACCAGTGTCACCCATGATTCTGGTCTTAATACTTAAGAAAAAAATTCCTGGTGATTGGAATGGTACTGAGATCTGTATTCTGAATTAAGTACAAAGTATCATAAGGCCACCCTGAAAAAACTTGGTACACTTTGACATTTTCTGCTCTCAATATTCATCTAGTCTACAAGATCCACATAGGCATTATTTATGATACTTACTACTTCTGGGACAATTCAAGACTGAATATTGTTAATCCATATACTGGAAGTTTTTAGTAAATGATATATATCTTGTACTTTTTGGCATATCCCAGTGATCGTACTCTGACTTGAACTTAAAAACACTGATTCTTACAGCTGAAAAACTTTCCCGTAAGTAGAAACCCTCTTTGTAATAAACTTACAGATGTTGCAACTAATAATACATTATCATTCACATTAGAAAATTATATTTATAGAATGTAGAAGCTCAAAACACATCAAAATAACAAAATAATATTAAATGCAAGTGAAAATTCTGCTTTTATATAATCAAATAGCAGCCATATTTCAAATTCTACCAAATCTTACTTGTTTATGTATTACAACTATATCATAATTATAATGTAAGAAAAAATTAGCTTATGATAATCACATTAAAGAAGCAAAATAATCACAGAAACTAAAATAATGCAAGTTTAAGCCATTAATTTCACCTCAGAAATGAAACTATATATCAAGTAGTAACCGTGAAGGCAGTATGCATGGGTCACTTAACCAGTGGCGCTTATATAATATTTACAGCTGCATTATTTGGTTAAAATCCCTATTTATAATTTCTCTACAGTGTGTATATTTCAACAAAGATTGTACACCTGCTTGTAAATGATCCTATTCTTAGTTCTTTGGTGAATACTTACCTAGAATACATACTAGGATTTTAGTGTTATTAGTATAGATATGATTATGCTATGGTTTTTATAGATGGTGCTAATTTACACAGTTTTATAGTTATAGGTGTCAGTAATAATTTATTGTGGTTAGATAAATGTTTCCACTTTTCTGGATAATACCAATACATACTCCAAGAAGGAAAAAATATTCTTTTGACTTCTCCAAATCACTCAAATAAATTAGAGACTATTAAAGTTGTTTTATCTGCTAAAAGACCTAGTAGTTGTTAGTAAAAAATATTAATCAGTTTTCATACATAAAAAGGGCAATGACTAAATAAAAAAGTACCCTAAAAATATGGATAAGGGTGTTGGCCTGTTTCTTTTGTTCTGTATCTCAAACTATGTTCCTTTTTGAGACCATGTAAAGAAGAATTAATTTCAATATGTAACAAATCTGCCAACATGAAATCAGAAAAGCTATTTTTACTTTACCTGCCAAAGCACCACCTTTTGCTTCTGAAAGAAGACTCAGATATAATGTCTGGTATATTATAGTCTCAGATTTTACAAACTAGTATGAAATTATGTTTTTAAAGCATCAGGCTATTGAAAAAAATGGATTTGTTGTATATACTAAAACATTGGCACACGATTGATGATTTTTCTCCTAATAAAGGAATCCTTGAACTAATTACTTCCAGGTAATGTCTACTTTTGTTTCTAGTTTCTATAATATATCCCTAAAGACTTGCTATCTGTTTGGGTATGCATTTTATAATGCATAATGCTATACTGAAAGCACTTAATTTTAGATAAACTACATGCTTTTATTCTGTTTGAATTACACCTACATGTACTTAAGTTTGTTAGATTCTTTATATTTTTCTAATAACCAAATTTAATATTATAGCATAAGTAAATAAGTTATTTAGAATGGGTTTCACCTATATTTCTATTAAGAAAACCCAAAATTCTTTTCTGATTAGGTTATAAGCCAAAAGGCAAAGGATCTGATCAATTGTTTTGAATATTCACTTCTTAAAAAACAATGTTTTATAATATTGCTTCCAAAGCACAGGGTGACCAATTATAATGGCTCTCTGAATTTAGTAAAGTGAGAAGAAGAAAAAAGAAAATAGGAATGTAAACTTGTGTGGTTAATAAAAGATCTCTCAACAGCTCTAATGGTAAAGTGCAGTCTCTATTAGAACCTAGTTATTCAAAGAAGAGGTTCCACTTGACATTATGTAAGTCCATCATTTCTCTTCCTTCCCAACTCTCCAAAAAAAAAAAAAAAAAAAAAAAAGAAAGAGGAAGAGAGATTATAAATATGATTCATATACTGTACTACTTTAATCTTTGAGCACAATAATTGTTTTCATTGGGGAATCACCTTGCTTAATTTTGATAATAATAGAAATGATACCTAGATTTGGTTGACAGAATTTTGATTTTGGGGAAAAGGGTGCAATTTACATCTTTCATTTAAAATATAAACTCCACTTAAAATAAAATGATAAGCCTGCTTTCCTTGGAACAACAAGCTATAAATTTATACCTCTAAAGTTTTAAGCAATATAATGGTAAATTACTCAGTATTCTACTAGAAAAGCTGAAACAATGTTTGAACAATTACAGTGTTGGGTTCCATTTCAATGGTTTCTTTTGAGAACTAAAGCAAATTAGCTCAAGAATCACTATTTCTACACTCTCACTCTTTTGGCTTTAAGTGGCTTTTGAAGGGAGTGTCCCCAGATGAGAAACTTCTAACACTCCTGCAGAGATGACCTGCTTGAAGAACTGGCTGCCTGATTAACTATTAACTGCTCTCAATAGGATTAGATAATTAAGGACATTGATGACCATTAATTAGGGGGAGGGCACATTAATTTGTCACTGGATAGGGCCTTTACAATGATTTATAGGTTAGTGCTACTTGCAAATGGAAAGGGAAAAAGAAAAAGAGAGAGAACCATTAAGTTACCTTATCAAGTGGCCAGCTTAAAGAGGGCAGAGGGTCAAAAAAGGGCCAAAGTGGTCACTTAAGGGTGAAGTCCCAAACACCAAAGCAGTGCCAAGCCACATTGACCATCATTTGGTGATGAAGTTAAAAATATGCTAATTTATTGGTGGCAATTCTCTCTTTTTATGGTTTCAAGCAGTTAAGACAAGTGGCCTGCTTAAGAGCTTTTCATTTGAAAAGAGATTAAACAAAATGGTTTGTCAAGGCTGCTAGGCTGTTTTATGTCTTTGTTAAAAAAAAAAAAATTGCACTATACTGATAACTATCACATCACCCAAAAGCCATCTCTCTCTGAACATTTACTTCGTTAATAAAAACATCAACTCTAATTGCTTAATAGTTCTATGTTCATTTGCTCTTTAGCAAGATTAAGTTGAAATAAATCTTTTGTGCTACTGCTTTCTGTCATCATTGCTTGCATAAAGGTCACAAAAAAAGTTTTTAAGTGTTGTAGAAAATTTGTTTAAAGCCAGTAGTGTAAATTATACTTTGTTTAATTCAGCATGTAAAGTGAAAGGTAATTTCACTAACAGTAAAGAAAAATGCTTTTAGAATATAGATAAGAATTCTCTTTCTTATCCATACACAATGTGAGTAGTATTCACATTCCACACACAGTAGCACAGCTCATTAACATTTAATTAAATATGCCTTTGAAAGCCTTGGAAATATACATATCATATTTATCACGTAAGTTTGGAGCTTACTTTTGACAGACATGTAAAACAAAATCACTTTTGCTATACTCTAATGATACATCATTAAAATAAAACGATAGTAAACTATTTTGTTACATCAAAATAACTTAATATTTAACATGAAACATATCTTAGAAATTTTATTAAAGTGTAAAAATAATTTTAAAAAAGGAGGAGGATATCATTTACCTCAAGACTGTGAACTAAAATATAAAATTTCTCTTACCTCAATGGTGAATAGCTTCCTTTTTAATTTAAAAGCTAAGTCTTTGACATCTGATTCATCACAAATCAAGTTATTAAGCCGAGGAATTTGCCGAATATGAATCAAACCTTATAGAAAAGAAATTAAAAGAAAAAAAATTTAAAAACTGTCACCAGATGCATAAATTAAAGAGTCTTACAGCAGAATCCTGTAAATTTACACACAAGCATCCTCCCCTTTTAAAACTGGAGCTTACTACCAGGAGCAATGAAGCAAATGGTGTGATTATACTCAAGTAATCAAGCAGAATAAGATAAACAGAAATCCTTGTGCGAGGAAAACTAATTGCACTTTGGTACAGAAGTACAGATGTAAAGAGGGATCTTAATACTTGTCAAAACTACAGCCGGTTTGTGTGTGATTTTCTCTTGTATTTACAGTAAGCAAATATGGCTATCACCTTGCATGCTGCCCACGGCACCACTGAGTGATCTTTATTTTATTAAATGCACCAGTAAGCAGCCAGCAAAACAAGGCTTATGGGTTACTGATAACCAGTGAAGCACTAATAAAAAGTATTTCGTTTTGTACCTCATTAATGACTTGAACAAACCATTGAAGAAAACTACATTTCAGAACATACTCTAGGATCAAACATTAACCCCTATACCATCCCAAGACACTCATTTCTGTGGCATGTTAGACCTTTATGTGACTGTTATAAGCTTTGAAACAGTGCTAGGTAAACCTTGAGCTTTGGGTTCTTGTCAGTAGAAATACTTGCTAATTTTTTCTGACAAGGGTATTGGATGGCTTTTGTGCAGCCTAATGTAGTTTCTGACTAAACTAGGGGTCATTTCCCATAGATGAAGACATGGAAGATTCTTCAGTGCATCTTTCTGCCTGACTCAGTTCATATTTAAAAATCACCATCCCAAGGACAGTGATGCCTGAATTTGGGGGTGGCAGTGAGGCAAATTCCAGATTTAAACAAATAGATAAATATTATTTATTGAACCACTTCTCCAGTACAAGGTTTTATGTGTGTATTTGAATGAATTGTAATGTATTAGTTTTAGCTAGAAAGGGTAAACCTCCAGATGCTTAACCTCATAAACAACCCCTTCAGTAGTAACTGACTAAAATATCTTACTGAATTTTCCAAACTTAAAAACAATTTAAAAGATGTTATTAAGAAAATAGCCTTTAGCTACAAGTTAAAAATATACATAGCAATTTAGTAAAATACACTTATTAGAAATAAGCACACCATACTTTTATTTGCACATTTCTAATTTTAATTTACATGTGCTTGTTTAGTTATTAAAACAGGAAAACTTACAGAATGAATTATTTTATCATCAGATCTTTCTTATTAACAGAAATTTTATTAGTCATCAGAAATACTCATTTAAATACTTTGTGGGGAATAATGTGTCAATTCAGAGATTTCAGTACAAAAAATACAAACTTTCAATGAAATGTTTCAATCAAACTAATATTTTTTATTATAAAATACAATTTCAATAAATTCATAAGCTAATAATACTCATAAATCATAACAAATTAAAACTAGTCAAATCTTAATAGATCTCTTCCTATAATAGTGAAAATTATATATTAAATGCATCATAAATAAGTTTAATCTGGGCATATGCCATATGCATATAAACAAGAGGCAAATTATCTTACAGTAGCTTTTGTTCACACATTACATTTTCCAGCTTTAAAAAATACCTGATTAGGGCTGGGATTGTGACTCAGTGGCAGAGTGCTTGCCTCACATGTAGGAGACACTGGGTTCAATCCTCAGCACCACAAAAAACTAAATAAATAAAATAAAGGTATTGTGTCCATCTATAACTAAATTTTTTTTAAAAAAATGCCTGATTATTAGTTTATGCTTTTTATTACATTTTACAAGGGTGTATGCTGAGTCCTTAAATCACTGTCAATTATATAAACTATCTTATAATTTTTAATACATTTTTGGAGACTCTAGCATGTTGGTTTCAACAAAAAACTGCCACTATCTGACTAAATCAAAATTGTAGATTTTAAATAAACTAGTGAGTCTACATAGTAGAGGTTTCTATGGAAACACAGTAGTTCCACAATAATAATAGCAATACTTTATATATATTTAGAGTATATAAATAAGTAAAAATCTGTTATTCACTACATTTTATATTGATTTGAGACTCAAGACACACACAACTACTAAACTTTAATATTCAATGGTTCTGTATAAAAATCTTTATAAAAAATTCCTCAACTAACCAAATGACTAAAATATAGGGGCTGGGGTGTAGCTCAGTGGAAGAGAGAACACTTAGCATGCACAAAGCCCTGGGTTTAATCCCTAGCTCCAAAAACAAAAAATAAAACAAAAGTTTTAAAAATAGTTTGATGAATTCACCTGTTCTTATACCAAAGTGGTAATACAGCCGGGCATGGTGGTGCACGCCTGTAATCCCAGTGCCTCGGGAGGCTGAGGCAGGAGGATTGCAAGTTCAAATCCAGCCTTAGCAATTTAGCAAGGTCTTAAGTAACTCAGTGAGACAATGAAATACAAAATAGGGCTGGGGATGTGACTCAGTGGTTGAGTGTCCCAGAGTTCAATTCCCAGTACCACTCCCCACCAAAAAAACCCGAAGTGGTAATACAATATTATCTTCTTACATACCGCTAAACTGAGTTGTTACAGTTATTTGAATGCCTGGGACCAGAAGTGTTTCAGATTTTGAAGCATTTCAGATTTTGGACTTTTGGCTCAGGGATACTTCAGCTGTTAATTAGAATTAACATATTTATTTGGAACATGGCTAATTAGTATGAATGATATCATGGCAACTTTAAGCCACTGAAACAATGAAATGTTTATCTAAGAGATGCTTTAGACCTTGGGTTTGACTCCTTTCAAATAGTTTTCATAGTCTCTAGTCTTACTGTGGTTTGATGACAAGTTGCCATGGAAGATTTGCCAATAACAGAAAATATTTAGTAGCTATATTATAAAAGAAAATTCATGCTACTTTATAGTAGATATTCTGACTGAACAGGAGAATTCTTCCAGGTACTCTAGAAGCACCCAGGACATGCTCTTCTCATTAAAAAGGTGCTGCTTACCATGATAATCTTTATATAATGGGTTGGTTTCTCTCTCAGAACCAATAAAAGATTCCAGACCAACCACTGTATCTGACAAGTTTGTAACACGGGAAATAATTGCTTTATTCTGTAAAACAAAGAAATGAAACATTCATTTTATGCTTAAACATGTAAAACTTACACATTGCCACAATGCCAACTCAATGATAAATTGTTGTGGAGACAGAATGTCAACATAGAGAAATAAATTAAAAATTAAAACTACTTTAGGCTAAAAATTGGACCAAAATATGCTCTTAATCGAAAACTCTGACCCAGATAGGTATGCTATTCTAATTTGAAGAACTGAGAGTAAAACATAAATTGATAGAAAACATAAATTACAAATTGTTTATTTGTTTTAAGGGCAGGGGTACTTTTATTCTCATATACTGTTATTTTTCAAATTATTTCACCCAGTGTCCTTTGGAAAATCTGGCAGACAATAGGATTCAGAAACAGTAGATAGCACAGTATAAAGTATTAAGGCAAGAGTCCCCTGTCAGCTGTCAGCTGGGATTAGGTCTCAGTCCTATATAACAGCTGAGGTTCTCTGTGACATATTAGAAATATGGAAGGGTCCAGCTAAGAGGCTGCAACATGGCTAGCTCTGGAGTCTTCTGTTTTCTCTTTCCAGATGCTGTCATTTGGCTCTGGGATAACAATAAAGGCAAAGAAAAGATGGTAGGTGACTAGCATTTAGACCTATAGCCTACTCATTCTTTCCCAATATGACTGCAGATGAAATACTGCTAAACTACACATCTTGAGAAATCTTGCATTTTACAAGATTAAAATAATACATTAATATGTTTCTAAATATAGTACGGATCAGTCAGTAAGCAGTAAACGTTCCTAAAATAACCAGAAATTCATGGCTATACAAATAAAGTCATCAAATACCCAGTAGGATTTTAAAAAAACATTATTTTGTTTAATGGAAATCCAGTATTCCTTCTAGCTCTGTTGGTGTAATAGTTCAGAAAATTGTTATTATGTGCTATATCACCTTAGAAAAATATTTAGTATAAAATCTATATCAAAACATTGCTGTATGTGAAATTCTGTAATTTTGAAATTCCTATTTTATAAATTGGTAATGTCAACCAGTTAGAAATGAGCTTTCAAGAAAAGAATGGGAAATGTAAAACAATCAAGAAAATTTATCAGTTTCATGCTATATCCTCTTTTGGAGAAAAGGTCAAATATAATAAAAGATTTTTATTTTCTGAAAACACAAATGACTACTGAGTTTACTGGTATTACTGGTTCTTAACTCCCTTTAAAAGGATTGTATAAGAATGCTACCTGACTTAGTATGAAATGCAGAGTAGTCTGTGTCACCAAACATTTTGTTTGAAAGATGACAAACTACACACCTAGAGCAGTATTTGAAACTCCTCGTTAGGAAGAAACGGGTGTTACATGAAGAATGTTTTGGACCTTGAACCGGTGTTCTTAAAAAGGACCATTAAAAATAATTTTTCTTAATCATCTTTAATACTTTCAATCATGTGGGCACACGAAGTAGAAAAACAAACATGACTTGGAAATGCTCTTTTTTTCTAAGGCAATTTTTCATTCAATGGTGAGAAAATAATCCAGATTGATTCCTTACTTTCAGTTCTGTGCCACAGGGGATGGTCCTACTCCAGGAATAACAGGGGCTTCAGAGGCCATAAACATGTTCCTCTCAATATTTCTTTAGCCAAAGACCATTATATCAAACTCATCCAGGTTGGGTTTCAGCCAGTTATTCTTCACCCAAACAAAAATGTCTGCCAGACATTCCAACAGCTGGGAGACAGTTCACAATGAGTCAACTTGAAAATGATTCATTGTGCTGAGTACTGAACAATGTTGGGGTGGGGGTGGGGTGTGGCTGGGTTGGTAGTAAAGGGTGAGAACAAGTGGGAGATGAAGAAAAACCATGTGGTTTCCCCATCAAGAAGAATCTTGGATAATAACCAGCAGGATCTTATCATTTTATTTTTAGTATAAATTCAACTGTGAAGAGTACTTCTGTTATGGACCCTCAGATGATCAAGCACTTATAAAGGCTACTGACAATATTTCTTAATCAAAAAGGTCAGATTTACTTTTATCTATAAAGAAAAGACTAAACCTTTGTGTCTAAATATCTGAATCTAAAATAGTAAAAAACAATTTTTTTTTAGAACTATGCTAGATTTCAGTGATATCAACTAGGGCCTTCTCAACTATATGAATAATAGAAATTATAAATATAAAGTATAATGGGATTGATATCCATCCTACTAGTATATAAGCAAGGTACTGTGTATTTAAATGGCTAACCTGACATTTGTTTCTTTCTTTCAATTATGCCTAAAATTAATAAACTACTAACAACTTGTAATATTTATCTGCTTTGTAAATCTTTTTAATAGAGTCTATGGGTGATAAAATATCAACTATACACTTTGAAGAAGAAAACAAATGAATTCCAGATATGAAAGGCATGTAAAAACTAGATGTCTCAGAAACTCATTCATGTTTTATTTATTATATTTCAGATTCATATCATAGTTATTTACTACAAACTAAATTCTATTTTAAAAGCTTTCATGTAGTTTTAGAACAAGATAAACTTTTAATCATGCTATTATCATAAAATAATTTACCCTTAACAGTAACTTTATTGCTTTCTGCATAGTTATTTTGCAATACAGTTTATACAATGTGGCCGGACAGATTAATTGTGAAAATTGTGCAGGAATCTGAAACACATTTATAGAATAAAAAGCAAAGGAAATTAAAAATTAAATAAATGTAACTATGACATTTAAGTTTATTTAAGTTTACTGACTCAGATAATCTTAATTTTTATGATAAATTCACTCAAACTTCTAGTTATTCATAGGAACCCAAAAGATATCTGGGTATGTACATGTACATTTTTTAAGTTAAAAAATATATTACAGATAACTTCTGTATGTCCAAGATTCATAAGGAATATGGTCTATTAATATAATCCTACCTTAAAACCATTCTTGTCAAAAGGTCTCAAATCATAATATAAACACTAAATGGGCCTCTAAATAAATAAAGAAAGGTAAATTTACATAAATGAATCTAAAATTAACAACTTAAGAAAATCCTTAAAATCATAATAATTATAATTCAGTTTAGCAGGAATACATTGTGGATAACATTTTGTCAAAATATAACCAGTAGTGTTAAGAAAGCTTTAGCATAATGATTGGAGCAGAGGCCTTGGAAACTGGAACTTCTATCTTTCCACCCTAACAGCTTCTAAGTGTTTTTATGTTATTAGTAAAGATGCAAAACCTCTCTGGTCTTAAGTATATAGTTGGAAATGAAGAAGTAAAGGCATTTGTTCAAACATAAATCTGAACATAATTTTTCAATAACTTTGAAGTTTATAGTTTCTAATAAAGAACATTTGAGTAAGGACATTCAGAATTCACTACTATGAACAAAATAATGGTTATAGTACATGTGTGGCAAAATGACATCACCCAAGTATATACAATGATATTGCCACCCTTCCTCCTTGCCCATCTGGATATGGGATGACTCAAAAATCCTTCTTATACTATACAAATATCCCTTTGCTCCTGGTGAAAGTTGTCAGCTCTGGATAGTAGCCAAGACATGACTAGGAGGGAAGCCAGAAGAGAAGAGAGCCAGTGTCCAGGAGTTTTAAGAGTTTGTTGGCAATCTCAAAGAGCATTGTAATAAGTTACATAAAAGGCCCTTAAACTTTTCTCTTGCAGTGTAATTCCTTAATTAATTAAATTTAAAATATGTCAAATGTTGTTGTAAATAATAGCAAATCAGATAGTCTGGTCTTTTACCATTTCTTTTAAAATTACGATTTCATTTTCAAAAATAACATTGAGATTTTGTTTTGATTATTTCCTGTTTGCTATTATGGAATGTTAACAGTTTTATTTAGGTTACCCTAAATCCATTAAATGTATTTTAAGTTAAGGAAGATTAATTTAATGTTTCCTTTCAATTCAAAAGTTTGTAAAACTAAACTAAAAATATTGTTAAGAGATAAAAATTCCACTACTATCATATAAAACTCACACCATTTTCTAAAAAAGTTGTTAGCATTATCAAGGAACAATGAGAATATTTCAACCCTGAATATTTCTTTATTTTCTTGGACTTAATAATCTTAACAATATAAAAGATATAATTTGTACCAATACAAATTACATTTCTGGGAAATATTTTAAAAAGAATATTAAAAAGCAATTAACCAATAATTGAATTATTAAGGGGCTTACGAGGAATAAATCAATCAACAAAGCATTTATGCTCTGCCTCAAATGAGAATAGATTCTTAGGTTTCCTAATTTATACTATTTAAGAAAGAGAACAAACACAATGTGAAAGAAGAGCTTCCATTTGAGTATGGCACAAACATCAGATGTGGATGAAAGTACTATTAAGTTATAGTTAGACAGTTAAAGAAACATTTAAGTTACTTTATGTTTGACCTCAGTACATGATATGAGGTGTACGTGTTGGAGATCCTCACAAGCAAGTATGGTACACTGAAGAGCTCACTTTATGACATTTCCTTGTCATGAAATCCAAAAAATAAACTTGGATCAAAAGACAAATCTAAAGTACTTAATGAGGTATTTGCTTTTCCATGCTTATTAAGTTCTCTATTCTACTGAAACCAAGAATAAAATAATAAAATCATACTGTGTTAACTTTTCAAAAACTTGCTTCATCTTTCCCACAGTTGTTGCCTTACTTCTGTGAATTAGATCTGTATTTTACTGGGTAAATAATTCTGTTCATGATTAATTTGAGCTTAATAAAGAATAAAATTTTATCAGATAAGATTATACTAATACATATTTGTAATAAAAATTAATGAGAGTATTAGATTAAAACTTTCCAAATTTAATACTGAAATTTATTCAAACTCAGTTAATTTTAGATTATGGATAAACTTTTGTAAATTAAATATTCTAAATCCAACTCTCTGGTGGTAATCTCACATAATGATATTCATTCACGGAAATCATAAAACAAACACTTTGGGTTTTTTTCCTGCTAAAGCTTAAAACATATCCATGA